TTGATATTCACTGATGAGGAGACATTTTGGATTTTGACAGCTGGTCCAAAATGTCCAGGCACAAAGGTAAGCCAATAATAACAGCTGCCAATTGAACAAACTGTCAGTTGTAATCATTTAACTAATAATCATTACTTGGAGTTACCCTTGATTTGAATGACATATAAATTAACTATAACTTCCAATTCTAATTACTAATAGGCTCATAATCTGGCAGTAATATTGCATGACAGAAGGCTGACTTTGTCACTGTCCTTATGAGCCTCTGAAGGTTCTGGGCTTGGATCCTCACTACACCCTGATTTCAAACCTAATTTGCTGTTCCTATCTGTATTAATTGAAGTTTAAACTTTTAAACACTATTCTCTTGGTCCAAAAACTCTTACTTTTGTTTTGTGTTTTTCTGTTGCATTAACATTTAGCATATCCATGCGTTAATTTCTTCTATGCATTTACCCAGCACGTAAATGGTTCATAGCCACATGGTGACACTGTAATGTAAAGCTTTGTTATGGTAACTTATGTTTTATTTTCTTATTAAGATCCGGGTAATGGGGAGAAGGCAGATTTTGAATAAAATGGGCCCTAAGATGGAACCTTGGGTAACTCCAAATGTGATTTCTGTAGTCTCTGATGTACTTGCCTACTTACACAAGAGGTCCCTCTACTTAGGGTTTAAACCAGTCCAATACTGTACAAGAAATGCCAACCCTGTTTTCCAGGTGCTCTTATAAAATGGAAGGATCCACACTGTTGTATGCTGCACTAAGGTACAATAATACCAGCAATGTGATGCTTCTATAGTCTTCATTTATACAGAAGTCATCAAACACCTTGACCAGGACAGTTGACAGTGAGCATGGAAGCCTGACTGGAAGACATTGAAGTGCCACTGTAAGGAAGGTGTTTAACTGTTGAACCACAGGTTTTTCCTGATAAGAGGGAGGTTTAAGATGTTTCTGTAATTATGCGGTGTCAGTTTGTCTAAGTTGCTCTTTTTTAACATCCACCATCCATTTTCTCGCGCATGGTCATTGTCAGGATGGAGGTGCCGCCAGTGCGTATCTTCTGCAGTCTTTGGGCAAGAGGCAGGGTACACCCTGGACAGGTCCTCAGTCTGTCGCAAGGCACTCCTTTTCAAAAGTAGTTTTTTAGACCGTGGGGGAAAACACCTGACTGAAGGTATACATTTATAAGTTAAGTCAGAAGTTGGGACAAGCAGGAATTCTTAATGAAGACTGTGGTTAAAACATCAAGACAACAGGTGAAAAAACTTAGTTGGTGTATGATTTCTGTTTTATTTTTGTAGTTTATTCTGTGAAATTTTGTCAAGATCAGTTATTGTTTGAGACATCTTTTTTTTTTGGACTTGATATGAATGTATATGCCCTTCTACTCTTTTGGGGGGGGGGTTCAGTAAAGAAGTAAGCAAAGCCATCGCATGCCCTGGTTGAGTGGAATTCACATGCCACAGTCACAGGATGTTTGTTGGCCCGTCGACCGTGAGAAAGCAGACAGAAGTATTATTAAATGTTTTGCCAATAATCTTAGAGAAGAAAAATCCTCCTGCATTTTTCCAGTTTTAAATTATATCTGTTAAGTATCTCTATTTAGATGTTATAAAAGATAAGGATTGAGCTGATTGGCCTGAAAGATAAAAAATAAACCTTTACCTCCAGGAGCCCAGGTGTATACAATCTGTGTGTTGCATTCAGGAGCTGTTACTCTAAAGGTAGTGCAATAACATCCCTACTTCTTAATATCCCTTTTTCAGCAGTTAGTGGTATTATAAACAAGAAAAAAACATCCAAGAGCAGCAGAAACTTAGCCACAAAGCAGTAAAAAGACTGCGCTGGGTCAGCAGGGCACAGAAGCTTGTTAATGAGCTAAATAGAACAGAGATAGTTTCATGTTCAAAGCGGTTTTTTGTTTTATTTTCAGCTTTTTTCTATGGTCATTACACTGTCCCAAGTACAGAGGAATGAAATAAACTCTCTGCATCTAACTCATCCCCTTGGGGAGCAGTGGGCTTCCATTGTGCGGTGCCCTGGGAGCAGTGTGGGGTTAAAGGTCTTTGCTCAGCGAGCCAGAGTGGCAGTCGGTGGGAGTGGGGCTTAAACTCAAAACCTCTGGAACCCAAGCACAATGCCCGAAACCACTAGGCCACCACTCCCAAAGGTGTATGACTGCTCGTAGAATATCGTATTTGAAAGCTACTGTCTAATGATTAATGCAAAACAAAAATCTCATTTCATGTTTGACCTTTTAGCTCCGGATTATCTGTTCCAAACTCCAAATAAAAAGAAAAGTAGTTTTTAACCAGTTTTTAATATGGTTGTGAACAAATGGGACTTTCCTTATTTTAGTATTGGTTCCCCTCCCATGGTGGAGAAACCATTGGCTGTTTGGAAATAGTCATTTCCTCCTACCAGACCTCCAATAGCACAAACCCACTGATTATATAAACAGTGGGTTGCCAGGTTTGATGAAATAATAAAAATTTACAGTGCATGACTAATTATAAAATAAAATCATTTATTTAAACTGAGGTTTTAAAATCTGTCAAGTCTTCCAGACTTTGCACCCTCCCTATATTATTTATAGATCTTTTTTTTCCCATATAACTTCTTAATCTCTGAAGGAAGAGCATTTCTTTTGGTACTGACCTGGCAAAACGGGCCGCAGCCCATAAGGGCCCCTGCTGGGGCAGATGCCTCTAACGATACAGTCAAGCAGAAAGCTGATCTGCTCGCCCTCTGCAGATGCAAGAAGAAAAACACCGGCCCCTGCAGAAAGTAGAACTCATCAGTGTTGCACAACATCAACAAAAAAGCTTAGTTCTTTTGGAGAATGCTTCAAAATTGGGTGGGTGTTATCAGTAATAAAAAAAAAAAAAAAGATACTGCCAGAAACAATGTACTAAAATTGCCTTTTTTGTTTAATTTTTGGTCATCAATTTTGTTTAAAATCCACAACAATAAAGACATAAAAACATACATACACAATCCTAAAAGTAGTCCTCACTCTCATGCACAAAAGAGCACACCGACACACCCAAACACATGTTTTTTCAACCATTGCTTTGATTTTACTTTTTTATTTGTAATTAAAGATAAAGAACAACAGCTCCACCAATTTAAACTAAATGTCATGTAGAACCATTAATTAATTAATTACGTACCAATGTACATGTGTCATGATCTTGATGCTGATGACTGACTGAATTACTCAATTCATTCACTCAGTCACCAATCAACTGTCTCTACCTGCTTATTTGTACATGGGAACACACTGGACAGGCTACCAGTCCATCACAGAGCAACATACAAAACACTAGCCTAGGGGTAATTAACAGAGATCGATTAAAAAGTCATTTTCCTCCCATACTGCTCAGAGAAAAAAAAATGTAGAGACACCATGCCATTTAAACCTAAAATCTTTTTGCTTTAAGTCAACAATGTGCAATGTCCTTCTCTCATCTGTGCAATATTGAAAAAATTAGAAATATCCTGTCCAGGGGTGATGCTGAGAAACTAGTCCATGCATTTGTTACTTCAAG